GTCCGGAGGGACTTGAAAAGCGCTCTATAAGTTCAGTACCATTTACTATTATATTATTATTTGATAAGTCATAACACCAGCTGCTGCAGACTGAAAAAAACAGAAGAGAAACCGTTCAGCTTTGCTTCTTGAAGCGTCACGACATTTCAGATGGATGGGCTAATCTGTCCGTGTACATTCAGGGTCAGTGCATCTTTTGGTCATTGGATTTTCATTTTCGAAACGGGTATTAAAAAACAAGAAACGAGTGGATATTTGACTTTTGTTTTAAAATACTGAAATTAAAATATAAAGCGTTTCTCATTCTTAGTGTCAAAAAGGGATGAACGAAATTTTTTAAATGATTTGAGTTTCATTTTCTGTTTCAGATAGCAAAAAAGAAAATTACTTTAAGACAGAAACAAAAAAAGGCTTGTTTGTTCATAATCCACGACAGGTCATGCCAATTTACTGTCTCCCTACAATAATCTGTTTCACCACCAGAAGGGTTGTCTGCATTATCAAAGTTACTCAATAAACATYCCATTACAAGTAAAAAGCATTGATGTTGACTTCGGTATCAAAWAAATTTGCCAAGTATTTATTTGGTATCAGATCAAYATCAAAGTCGTAGTACYGCCCACCCTTCAATGAAAGGAAAACTCCAAGGACGCAAACTGACAGAAAAAAACACAGATTTTGTCAAAACTCAGGAGGAAAAAAAAACCTTAGTGCTCACAGAACAACAACTGTACAACACACTAATAGAATGAAATTAATCTTATTTTGCTTTTTATTGAGAGAAATGGAGATGAAACATTGAGGCAGTAGCCGACATGTATTCAGTAAAAGAGATTTATTTGGATAAAGGCCACATGAATTACCTCTGCAGCCTTTGGTCACTGAGCAACAGTCATCATACAACTCATTTATGGACACTTCTCTGTGTTTCAGCCTTTTATTTACAGAAATCAGTGTTTCATTTTGCAGAGCTGCCAGGTGAGCGCCCCCTCTGGTGGGGGAATAGATAGTCTTAGAACAAATAAACAAGCCTTTTTCCGTTTCTGTCTTCAAGTAATTTTCTTTTTTTCTATCTGAAACAGAAAATGAAACTCAAATCATTTTAAACATTTTGTTTATCCCCTTTCGACAGTAAGAATGAGACAGGCTTTGTATCTTAATTTTGATGTCAGTCTTTTAAAACAAAAATCAAATATCCACTCATTTCTTTTTTTTTAATACCCGTTTCAAAAATGAAAATCCAATGACCAAAAGAAACACTGACCATTCAGGCAGTTCATTTTTATGTTTGAACCTGAAAATGAAAAAAAAAAGGCACTTGTTTTTTAGTTTTTCATTTCTTGAACCAAAACCCACACTTTCACACAACATTGGTTTTGATAAATCCCAACGTGTGCATGGAACTTGGCACTCCGTAATCGATTATTAAATTTGTCATCGACTATTTTAATAGTCGATTAGTCGTCGACTAGTCAACTAATCATGGCAGCGCCTAGTCTCCTCCGTAAAGCAAAAACATGCGCGCACACGCGCTGCAGCGCGCAGTGAATCAGCTGTGTTTTTTTTTAAACCAGAGTCAGAAATTTTTATTTTGATTTTTGATTTTTCTTGTGAACTGTGGAAATTAAATGTGGATGGTTGCTTGCTCTCAAGTCTTAGTAAAGTCCACCTTGGTGTCGGGTTCTGTTCCGAGGCAGATCACTCCAGCAGCATGAGAAAGCTCACATGTATGGCAGGCCTCTTTTACATATAATCGGCTTCATCACAGTTACATTCCAGGTTCTGAAAATGGTTTTATGACTGCACATCTTAGTTTTTTAAGTGAGAGATGCATAAAATTCAACTAATACAAATTAAATTTAAAGAGTAACTTACCCCAAAATTAACTTTTTTTAGCTGATAAACTGCCTAGAATGTGTCTAAAATGTTATAT